ATGAACGTTTTTTCTTTGTTAAATAATTGCTTGCAAAGTCGGACATAACTACAACTAATCAGATATCATAATCATAACTGCATATCATAATCATAAACATATAATAATATTAATGATAATCAACATGCGCCGCATTTGGCTCAGCTACCAGCGAAAGCATTGCAAGTGACTCGTGTGATGAAATGTATGTTAAATGGTAATTTGGGCGAGGATTGGGTTCCAACTAGTCGCTGAACTGAACATTCAGCCAATGTACAAAAATAATTGTTAGGCATTAACAGTTTATAAATCTACGTGAACTGGTCTAGCTTAGATTGCTTTTCATCGTGCTCCTGCTGCTGCTGCAGTGCACCATTGCTGCGCTTGGCTGGAGCCGCTTTGGGCCAATCGATGTTCGCCAGGCTGGCGTATTTGGCAAAGATTTGCTTAAGGCGGACGTGCAGGACCTCTTCTTGACTGATTGTCGGCAAATTGTTGGCCGCGTATGCCCAATTCTTGACCACCAGACTGGGCTTGCACGTAATTATATTGATTTCGGGTAAATACCGCTCCGGATAAATGGTGTCTGTGGGCTCCATTAGCATCTGGTTGAGCTGATGCGGTGTGCGGTGCACCACCAACCGACCGCCGGCCTTCACCTGCTTGTAGATCTCGTTCATGTGGTGATAATACTTTTGCGACAGCACGCAACGGCAATTAATATCGCTGATCTTCAAGATGCACAATTCGCGCAGCGCATGCTGCAAGCTCAAACGGCACTCGGTTACTGTGTGGCAAGGAAGTTAGAATTAATTGGATGCGACTGATTAGTGCTTGACATATTTAGCTGCTTACCGGTGGAATTAAGCAGCTTGGCTACATGCAGCCAGGCACTGCGCTTCTCCATGGTGCTGGACCTGCCATAGGTTTTCGGATGGCAGCGCAGCAGACGTGTCAGCTGATACGCATCCATGTTGGGTAGATTGCGAGGCTCGCCGGCCAAATGCTTGACCAGTTCGTTAACAGTCGGCTGTTTTTCCAGTGTAAGATCCGAATCATCTGGCAGTGGTTGTTCCTCCGTCCTCTCCAGCTGCAACAGCTGTTGCTGTTCCTCCTCCTGCTGCTGCTGCTGCTGCTGCTCTGATTGCTGCGGCCCTTTGTTGAAGAAAACCAATATCTCTTGAACTTTGTCCTCGCCATTTAGGAGCCGCTTCGCCTCCTCTGTCTCCCAGGGCATTAGCGCATTGTTTGCCACCGCCTTGCCCTGTGAACTCTCGACATTTGGTTGCATTAGCGCCTCGTACATGCTGCAGCGCTTCACCTCCTCCATGAACTTGTTGTGCACAATGTAGTAGTACGGCTCCAAGGGATGATAGCGCACATTCACAAGAAACTTCAGCTGCTCCAGTGCATGCCACCAGTTTTGCGGCCAGGGATTCTCAATGCCGCGCTCCAAGTCCTCCATATACGTCTTGAAGGCAAATTTAAACATAGACCAAACGTCCCGATGATTCACTGTCAAAGAGAAAGCAATGAAAATAAATTAATATTAAGCTCCAATTCTTGCCAGCTGCTATACCTACTGTGCGGAAAACGTTCACGCGCCACACGCCACACCTCCTGGCGCTCCTGGTCGGTATAATGGCGGGGCGGTCGCACTGAATGATTCGATTCTCCTGGTCGTGGTCGGCGCATGTCCCAGTACAGATGATCGTACTTTTCAAAATGATTCATCAGCGCTGGCAGTTGATCCTTGTGCAGCATCCATTTGTATTTGCGCGCTATTTCGTCAAATTTGCTGAACAAACGATGCGACTTCTCCCACACCCTCATGCCGCCCTTGAAGGGACGCATCAGCTCCTCCATGGGCGCTATTGTCGGAAACTGGTTCATGTTATTCGCCAGAAACTGCCAGATGGCGCGACATAGTTGATCTGCCGTAGAGAAAGGGAACAATTTTTAATGGAGAACGCTCGGCTGGGAGATACCCATTATAATCTGATATTCAGGCAAGTGCGGTAAAGTATTCAAATAGTAAGAAATCGTTGAGATGCGCATATCTTGATCGATATTTATCGATTTTGATCAAACAACACAAAAAACCCGAGCTAAAATCGATATTTATCAATTTAGGGAAAATCTCAACAAAAAAAGTTACTGTCAATCGATATTTATCAATGTTGGGAAATATGGGAAAGTTATAAAAAAAAATAAGAAATAATTTGGTGAGCTAAGCAGTTGAAAATCAATATCAATCGAATTCGGGGGAGCCTAGCTCCTTAAGCCTCCTCAAAAGAGACGGTATGGCTGTTGATGGAGATGCTATACGATACCCTCTGCTAGACCATTTTTACTGGACATGCAGGAATAGAGAAAATTGGGAGAAAAGCCAAAAATAACACTTGCCTGGCATGTGAAACTTTTTGGCTATTTGCTGCCAGAGTGCCGAGCTTTTGCCTGCCAGCAGGTGATCCGTGCAGTGCAGCTGCGGTATGGCCATCACCTCACGTATAAAAACCGCGGTGCGTGCCATATTCAGATTGGGGGAAAATGGCACCGCGGTGCCCTCCGCATGCAGAACGCGTCCAGTTTGCGGGCAATCGCGGAACTCGACTTTAATTTCAGGCACCTGCATTGTCGGCGTCTTGTCATTGCTGATAATCATATTCGATGAACTGCTGAAAGTGATTTTGATGCTATTGGCGGGCTGGGTCGGGCTGCGGATGTCGTCCCAGCCGCTATTCAGCGCCGTCTGATGCTTTCTGACGAGCGTTGTTGGCGTCAGCGCTGGCAGCGGCATCGATGTGCCCCACGGCTTAGGCAGCATGTTCACCGATGGCAATGCCACCTTGTCGTTGCGCACGGTCAGCGGCACCAGCTTGGGCAATGGTGGCACCAACGCTGGCAACGATTTTGCATTTGACGCGGGCGTTGTTGTTAGCGTTGCCAGCTTGCTGGGCACATTGCTCATCTTGGTGGTGAGTTCTGCCGGTGCCGCTGCTGTTGCTAATGCTGGTGCTGTGGGCTGAAGGGTGGCACCTGCTGCGACAGGTGGTACGGCGCGTATGGTGGTGCCGCTGGTGCTGTTCGTCGGGATGCTGCTGCTGCTGATACCCGGCGATATAATTGGCGTCAGCGGCAGGCGTATATTCGGACGCACCATTACCTGCAGGCCAGTACGTATTGGACTCGGCCGCACGCCGGACACATTGGCCAGCTGCACCGTGGCCGGTATCGGCAATGGCAATGGCAGCGGCATTGGCATTGGCAGCGGCTGCGTCTGCGGGATTATGTTTACAAAGCTGCTGTTCGACGTGTTGGCAGCTGGCGGTGCCGTCGTTGCTGCTGTTGCTGGCGTTGCGGGCTTGGGCACCATGCTAATGGCGGCTGTGATGCGTGGAATGGCAAAGCCAGAGGTACTGGAGCTGCAGCTGTTGCCGCTGGTGGTGTTGCTGCTGGTGATGCTTGTCGTGATGCTGTTGCCGACGATGCTCGTCGTGATGTTGCTGCTGCTGCTGATGGGAATGGCCGTAATGGTGGAGTTTGCCCTCGTGGTCGCCGGATAGACAATGGCCAGTGGCAGCGGTGGCGCCGGCTGTGGCGTACTATACGCAGGCTTCGCCGCCAATCTCTGCCAGTCACGATGCGTAGCACTGGGCTTAGCGCTCACTGGCCCCGCCGCCATTAACTTGGGCGGTGTTGTGCCAGTGGGAACAATGGGGGCGGCACGTTTTTGGGCACGTCGCGTCGAGCGTGCGGCTAACAGCTTGTAGAGGCAACCAATGATGTTCTCGAAGAACCATTTGTCCTGCAGCTGATAGCCAACTTTACGCATCTCGTCTAACTCCAAGTAAAAGTTGCGCAACACCAGCCAGGTAACCTCGCAGCGTTGATGACTGCAATTCACCTGCGCCGAGACGCGCAACCAGAGCTCATTATATCGCGCTGGCTTCAGTTCATTATCCTGGTAATCATCCACCATCTGTCCAAGCTCGGGCATTGTTTTTAGCACATTTATCAGATTCATGACGCTGCGAAAATGCTCAATGGGATCAAACCAGGCGTCCTGCAAATACATCGACATCTTGCATACGGTGCCAGGTGTATTCTCTATGTGGGGTGACAGAAAGCTGAGCTGATTCTTCAGCTGTGAACTGGCGCTACTGGCGTGCGTCACCTCCCACTCGTAGCGCGTCCTTAGCTGCAGCCAGATCTTCATTAGCTTCGTTGCCTTCTCGTGCAGCTCATTGGAGATGGCTCCCCAAATGAGTCCGCGATGACGATAATTGTTATAGCCCACATGCTGCGTATCATACAGCTGTGGATAGGCGCGCACGGCATCAACGAGTCGTTCCTGATCGGGACTAATCTTATACTGTTCACAATAATCCGCATCTAGATCTATAATATCAGCGGGCTGTGTTGGCACAATGGTCACATCATCGTCCACACTTGACTGATCCGCATTTAACACTTCGCCGGGCTGCTGGCACTGCAACGGTTGCCGTGCCACGTGCATGTACAGGAACAGCATATCCTCCTCGTGCAGCATGGTGGGACGTGGACGCGTTAGACTGCGACAAGCCTGCACTTGCCGGCGATATCGGCGCAGGCGGCGCACTTGACGCTGATATTTATAGCGCAGCTCCGCCCAGGTACTCATGCATTTGGTAAGTTCCAAGGACAGCTGTCGCGCAATATTTTGCCACAGCTGCTCCTTGAAAGCGTCATCGTTGAAGCGCCGATGGCGTCTATTGTACAGGGCAGGCTGTTTGCGCACCAGCCGTATGAGCCGGCGTTCCGATAGATACGCTTCCAGATTATAGGAGGCGACATCAGCGCTAACGCTGCGCGGAAAATCCATTACCGGACTTATGGCAAAGTCCATGATCTCCTCATCTAATTCAGCTGTTTGCGTCTCGTCGGTTATATCTACAAATACAAGAATGCTTTCTATCTATACGGCATGCACTATATCTCAAGAGCAGCTCACCCAAAATCTCCAGCGGATTTCTCTCGTCATTCTTTGTGCCTCTTCGCACCGGTATTGCTGGCTCCTCCATTCTTATATATACAACTTATATATAAAACACACTTTGCGTACACTTCTGCTAATCGCGTGGTTTGGCCAAATGCCGTGTGTTGTTGGCCACATAAAAAAAAAATAAAAAAAAAAAGAAAGCAACAACCAAACAACATCAAACACCAGACGCAAGCCCAAATTTAATGCATCCCAGTGGTCAATTCAATGGCGCCGCACACTGCACATCACTGGCGCACAGATTGCAGGCAATTCGCACCATAATTCGAGGGCAACGCATAATAATTTTATTCAAATAAAATAACGCTGACATCCAGCATGCGTGTGAATTTTCGTTCTGACGCTTTGCGTGTGCGACTTTTGCGCGCAGGGTAAGTACAATTCTGCGATTACACAGCACTCCAATCTATCGCATGCCCAAATATATCGATAACAATTGCCTGTGTTGGACAACTATCGGCGGCGCTTGTGCTTGTGCGCACTGCTTAACATAATTTGAATTCAATTATTCGACTTTTCATTAAATTACTATTCAGGCCTTCAAGTAGCCCGATTTTGCATATGCGTCTTGACATAAACTGCAATTATATGCACATTATTATCGTAAATATATGATGTTGCGACCGTGATACGTCTCGGCATCCACAGCCGCCGGCCGAGACTAGAGCTCGTAATTGCTTCTCCATTAGAATTCGTAAATTCTTTTTGATTACATGCGTTATTGTTGTTTTTAATTTGCGAATGTGATGATCACAGATCACTTGAAAACAAGTCCAACAATATAAATATGCATTAATCCAAATGACCGATTCAAATTATGCGCGAAAATCTAGCACGATGCTAACAATTTGCAGCTGTTAAATTCAAAATGACGAAAATGTTTCTATTTTAGTTGAGATCAAAGAATTCAATCAAATACAGGATCGAACAGAATACGAATTTGAGGTATATCTTTTAGGCAATGCTAGTTGGATGAGTCGGCCAGTCGGCCAGTCGTTAAGGATAACAAGGATGCGGGCTCGAATCACAATCAACTATAAGCAATTAGTATTAACGTATTCGACTAGTTATATAGCTATATATACAGCCTGGACATTGGCTACTCGTTCTAATAGTCTAAAGTTTTGAAATTTTTATAATGACCGCATGATGAGCACAGAAGCTCAGGCACGCATAACTCACAGAACTAATGGATCTTGTTTTTATGCACGAGATGAGCCAATTTTCAGAAATTAATCATTGGGTTCGCTTTGCAGTCAGATATTATGTATTTATTAACCGGCTATCCTTGGCACTGACTGCGATCGTTGACAGTCAGGCCCAGCCAGGCCATGTGCCAGGTCTCTGTCTCTCTCCAAAGCCAAAACCATCTCAATTATTTAAGGGTACAAATTGAAATAGAAAAATATATACTAAAAAAATGACCAATAAAGAAGGGCGGGCGTGTTTCCATGGAAAACTGACAAGACATAACAATAATCATATTTTCAGGGTCAAATTACGTATACGCAACCGAAACGCATCCAAGGCACATAAAGAACAGAGACAAAAGTCAAGATAATTATAATAAGAAAACAAAAAATAAAATTGTGTACTCATCAAATCGGTTTGTTATAGTAAAACTTAGTTTTAAACAAACGTACCAGCGTTTGGCTCTGGTTTCCAGTTTCGAGCTGCTTTTTTTTTTTCTTTTTTTTGGCCTGACTAAATATTTAGTGTGTGTTACTTACCTAAGTCAAGCAATCAACAGTTTTAGGGCTTCCCCATTCATACAGGTTATTCAAATGTATTTTGTTAGCTTGTTTCTCTTTCAGTTTCTGTTTTAGTTTGTTTTGAAACTGGATTCTTTGTAACTTAAGCTTTTCGCGTGTTAAACAAATTTAGCTGAAACAAAGAATACCCCGCGAGCAGCTAGACTCTGCAGGGTATCAAAGCACAAAACGAAAGTCAATAACTATAAATAGAGCAAAGAAGGGGAAGACAATGTATGTTAGGCGAAAAGCCTATTAACTGTCTAATCGACTTAGAAACAGCTAAGAAATAAAAACAAGAAAGAGGTTCTAGTCGGGAGCTCCCGACTAGGGGATACCCTGAACCCTCTTCTTCCAACATCAAATGCATATATATATTCTATTTCAGAAGCTATATGTCAAGTTTGGTGACTCTAGCTCTTATTATTTACCAAAATTGCCCAAAAAACAGGATATCGGTATCGATTTTTATCGATTGCTTGGAAACGGAGTAAGTTATCGATTATCGGAAACAAACTCGATCTGCGCGGGAACTAGGATCACCTACATCTCTAGGTTCTGAGATCCTTGCGTTCATACATACGGACGGACGGATGGACGGACGGACAGACAGACGGACATGGCTAGATCGACTCGGCTATTGATGCTGATCAAGAATATATATTCTTTATGGGGTCGGAGATGCTTCCTTCTGCCTGTTACATACATTTGGCTTTCGCACAAATACAATATACCCTTATACCCATTTTTAATGGGTTCAGGGTATAAAAATAAATGCAAACGCTGCAGAATATAACCAGGGCTGCGGCGCTCTTCAATGAGCCAAACAATACTAATGAACTTATAAATATTAATTTGAAAGTAAAAAAAAAAAAAAAAATGATTGAAAATCTCAAATTAAATTACATAAAGAACCGATTTACGGCAACAGGTCTATTGTTTGTCTAGATTCGATTTGGTTAGAACTTATATAATTAAGATACGTATGCATATTCATTTATGGGCTGTAAATTTGTTAATATCAAAATATGATTATCATATATTAAATAAATTAGATCGTGTGATTCGCTTATGTTAAACGAGCCGCAACTGATATTGAACATTAAATTTGAATTCGAATTCGTATTCGATTGCTTTCCAACTCTGGATAAGCGTCAGCCTCGCGTTGCGTCGCAGTCGCAGTTGCAGTCGCCTTCGCTGCTGGCGTCGCAGCGTCGCCCTGTTGCTGTTATTGTTGTTGCTGTGTTTCTATATGCGTTGCCTGCTCCGTTATCGCAGCGACGTCGGCGTCGGCGTCGTCGTCGTCGTCGTCGTCGTCATCAGCTGTCTTCGTGTTGTTGTTGTGCTTTTTGCTGAGTGTTGTTTGTTCGGCACCTCGAATTGCTGCCGCCAAAACATGTCCAATTCAGTTTGAATTCTGCCTTCAAGCGCTTTAGAACAATCATATAAAAACTTGGCTTGAATTATCTATATACAATTTGTTTACACTGAAATTCTCTCTCTCTCTTAACCTTTCTCTCGCTCTGTCTCTGTGTGTGCGTGCGTGTGTTTGAGTGTTGGTAAAGTTTGTTTAATGAAATTATTAACTCAGTTGTGTTTTTTTTTATTATTATTATTTTTTCATCTTGTGAATTTTGTTTTGTTTTTGTTGCTAAATTTGTTGTAATTCACTTTTCCAGCGAGTTTTTATTCCCACTGAATTATTATTCTATTTACATTTTCTGATCGTGGATAAGACGAACCCAAGCAAAAAAAAAAAAAGAAAAGAAAAGAATAATTGATAGCATATTATTACTGCTCATCCTGCTCGAATTTCAGAGCCAAATAGCGCGAAGAGCGATAAACGGTCCACAGCACATAGACCAAAACGAAAGCCCAGGAAGCCATGTGCACCTCCCCGGTGGCCCACCAAATGTCGTCCAGCATGTCCTCCGGCAAGATATTGCCCCGTCGCCAGGCGATACCCGTGCTCTATACACGTGGCACTCACTATGAGGTCGGCTTCGATATGGTAAGCAACGGCTCCTTAATCCTTTGACCTTTCAACCGAGCCCCCAACAACAACAACAACAACAACAACAACAACAATAACAGACCGTTGACAAATGTCACGCTAGCTTCATTAAATGTGCCCAACACACTCGAGAAAGTTAACTGAATTTATAAGTTTAGCTGTTGTTTTGATCTAAACTGAAAATTTTACTATATTGTATTATTGTTTTTTTTTTTTTTGTTTTCTTTGTTTTTGTTTTTTTTTTTTTTGAGTACTTTTACTTGGCTATGACGACAAGTTTAGCAGCTAAATTGATGGCTAGCGCCTGGCTATAGCGATAATGGGCGGAAATATTGATGTACCTAACTAAATACTAACTAATTATAAACGCATGCCGTTTGCCTAGCTTTACAGTCCGTTACAAACAACGCAAGCTCCCGACTTGGGGATACCCTGAACCCTCTTCTTCCAACACCAAATGCAAATATATATACAGACTCTATATATATACAGACTCTAGCTCTTATTATTTACCCAATTTGCTCAAAAACAAGATTTCGATATCGATTTTTATCGATTGCTTGGAAACGGGGCAAGTTATCGAATATCGAAAACAAACTCGATCTGCGTAGACACTAGTCAAGTTCTTCAAGTCTCTAGCTCTTATAGGTGCTGATATCCTTGCCTTCATACATATGGACGGACGGACGGACGGACGGACGGACGGACATGGCTAGATCGGCTCGGCTTTTGATGCTGATCAAGAATATATATACTTTATGGGGTCGGAGAAGCTTCATTCTGCCTGTTACATGCATTTGCATTTTGCACAAACCCTTCTTACCCACTTTCTATGGGTTCAGAGTATAAAATGAAATTGTTTTTGTGCTCATCGAATTCGAAATTGTCATTCAAGCAGAAAATTGAAATCAACTGTGAAATTTCCAATAAATATTAAGCATATACAATTATGCATTTGAAGCTATTCCAAAATGAAGCTATAAATTGAGCATATCTTCGGCACGCCGAAGATGAAATGCCCTTCCTTTGCAGATAGGCGCACATTGTCACGCCTCATTTCTCATTTCTCGACCGATTCTTTCCTTTGATCTATATTAGATAGTCGTACAATATGAGATGAAGTAGTCAATGCTACAGTTAGTCCAGATATCTTGATGAAAACAAAGTTTTCCGTACAAGAACCTACTTAGCGACCGATCGTTCCTATACCAGCTA